AGTTGCCCAGGCGGGTCTTGAACCCATGGGCTCAGGCAATCCACTCACCTCAGCCTTCCAAGGTGCGGGATTACAGGCTGAGCCACCGAGCCCGGCTTACTTTATTATTAATAATATATTATTTGTGTCAACTGATCTCAATATACGAACATGCCATGCCACATGTCAGAGTTGCTGACTTTTTATATTTCCATTGCTTTAGTAAACACCCTTGTTTAGAAGATGCTCTGTACAATCATTGAAAAGTCTGATTTTCTTGTGCTTTCAACTTCTTACAGTGTTTAAGTACTATCCTCTAAAAGCAAAATAATCTTTAACTCCTAGAAAAAGGCTGCTGGTTCTATAGCCATGGCAATAAGTAAACCACTAGAACCTGTTGGAAAAACAAACCAGATTTAATGAATTAGTGATGACTTGCAGAGTCTAAATGATCAGTGGCAATTCACTTCAGTAAATACACCTTTGAAAACCAGCTAACCAGTGACAAGCCTCATGATTTTGAAAGTTGGACTATCAATTGCAGACTCACTCCAGTGAACATGCTTCTGAAAGCCAGCCAATCAACAACAGTCTCTTTCAAATAATGGTGCTTCTGAAGCTGATGTCAAGTCCTAAACAATGCCTGGCCCCAAAACACTATATAAGATTTGCAACCTGCTTTGCTTGGAGACACTGTGCCTAAAAGCACAGTTCTTTCTTACTTAAGTAAGTAATAAATTAAGGCTTTTGTTCAGATATTTAAAGGTGGTCTTTTTCTTCAACACTTCTTACAGTCTATGCTCATTCCCCACAAAGTACACTCTAGAAATTGTAAGCGTATTATCACTGCTGATAAATAATTTTAAAGAGTAGCAAGGCTGTCCTGTCAAAGTTCCTTTACCACACATCAGGGGGAGCCCAGACCTCTGTCTTGCATTTCAGTAGGTGCTTAGCAGTTTTCCAAGTGCTTGGAGGTTGGTTATGTTGATGCGTAAGCCAACACCAAGAAGTAGCTGGAATCAACCCTTTAAAACAATTTTATTCCATACTCCTAGACTGAAATAAATAAATAAATAAATAAACCCTAAAAATCCACTATCTTAGTTAACTTACTAATATCTTTCCAAATACACTTTCTTCAATTTTAAAAACTTTCCCATTCTCTGCCCCCCAAATACAGATGGGTTTTTGTAATATCCATTTCTGGTACTGATTGTACATGTTTCAAAAATGACTTTTTCAAAATTTGTCAATTAAAAACATAAAGCGGCACCTTCTTCCTTTCTATGCCATGAGACAATCTTGTAACTATTAGATTTGGTTGGCTCTGGTATAAGAAATGAAATCTAGACACATGAACAACTGCACAAAGTCTACAAGAAGAAACAGATTTTCTTACAAATATGAAAAAAACAGAAAGTCGTAAATTAAAGGAGCTGTCTTTTTCAACTGTTTGTTTCACACAACGCTGCACTAAACAAGTCCAACATTTTGATTAATAACAAATCCAAACCCAGAGGAAAGAGGGAGCTATCAGCTTACAAACTATTTCAGTTTTAATATCATAATGCTTAACATGGCTGGTTACTCGGCCATAATATTTAATCTTTAATAGAAGTAAAAGCATAATCAAAATGCTTCATCCATTTATCTTTCAACATGCTTTGGTCACTTCATTTGGAAAAGCAAAACAAAACAGCTATTATGATTTTCAGCATAATAAACTCCTGACCTACGTGCCTCCATAAATCACTGACTGCATGAGTTGAAAGCATGCCCGTACTACAGTCTCCAGTGAGGATACACATGCAGACTCAGAACTCAGACTTGCTTCGAGGACAGAGGGTCTGGTCATTTAGAGTCTTGTGGGTCCCAAGAACTCAATACTATCCACTCTGAAGCTCATCATGGAATTGGCCCAAAGAGCAATTAATTTTTTTGGAATTAATCACATACTGATCATTTATACATAAAAATATTAGAGCTTGTTCACCTGAAGGCAAAGTCAAAAATTTAAGTCTGATTAATAAAAAAAAAAAAAAAAAATCTCACATAGGCTCAGATTCTCAAATAACATTGACTTTAGTGTGTTACAGAAATATTGAGGTTTACTATTTTCTTGGGGGTTGTATTTGACAAGAGTTTTTTTTGGTATGGAACTGTGTACAATTATAAACAAAAGTAAATAACTGATTCTTCAAAAAGGACCCAGACCTTGACTAATCTCACGAACTTGAAATCCAGTTTGTAAAGTTCTCACACAGTTGTGAAATAGATTTAGTAGCAATTAGTGTTAATGGGAAATAGCAAAAGAAGAACTGATTCTCAGACACATAGTGAGTAGCCCAATATAGAATTCCAATATTAACAATTTGTTTCTGATGGAAATGCATTGAAATTATTTAAGCTTACATAATGTAAACAGCTATCGTTTTCATTAGTATTTCTATGACCCACTCCTTCCCATATCCAAGTCACCCCAATTTAGCAACTTATCACCCAACACTTAGATGGTTGCAGGTGTCCTAATTGTTCCACATCTGTACGATTTCTCCCTCTTCAAATTCTTCCAAAGGTTTTAAAATAATCTTTCTTACACTTTTCTTTTATAGCATTCCTTTGATCAGGAACTCAGGCTATTGTACTAGACTGAAAAAAATACCTCAGTCCAGCCTTCAAAACACTCTAACAACTGGTTGTTTCCTATCTCATCAACCTTATTTTGTTTCTTTCATCAATTCTCACCATTTTGTAACTGCCTGCTTACTTAATTGTGAACAGGCTGTCAGTTGTTCAAGACAGTTTGAGTCTTATTCACGGTTGTATTCCCAGTGCCAAGCATGGTGATTGGTGTTTGCACTGAAGCTTTCTGACCCTTTGTATGGGCCAGACCTGTTAAGCTAACACTTGTTTTCCTTTTGTGGGCAGAGACTGTCTTCGGTTTTGATGATAAACTCCCTAAAACATCTACCCGACTCTGCAGAAAGTCTCGTGCTCAGCACAAGTCCACCTTCTTATGACCTCTCATAGTTCAGCACATTCTGATATCTGCTTCACCACTCACTCATGTCAGTGACTGCTAGTTTTATTCCTCGACAGACTGCCGTGGGAACATGCCTTAGGTTCTTTTCCATCTCCTATAGCACCTGATGTAGAACTGGAGCGAGAGGATTTTTTTTTAAAGCAATGATTCTCAAAGCGTAGTTCTAGAGCCTTTGCAGCAGATGCAGGTGGCACAATCGAATCACCTGGGTAGTTTTAAAAGCTATCAATGCCAGGCTTCCACCTCCAAAGGTATTGATTTGGTTGTCCTGGCATGGGTCCCAACATTTAAAAAAAATTCCTGGTTATTTTAAAATGCAAAGTAAAGACTATAGAAATTAAGTTTAAGAAACTTAACACTTTAAAAAAAATACTTTTTATACTCTCAGATTGGTTGATTGATTAAGGCATTTGTTCTTGTCCCTTCAGAGATAAAGAACAGCTGGTTCA